GCATGTAAACAAAATAACGCCCACGTTGCCTTTATTGACAAAATACATGGGAAATGGAATACCAGCGTGTTTTCGTTAGCTTCAATCTCCAGTTCTGTCGAGAAGGTAATACGCAGCACCCCCCCACCACTTCGAGAAAATGGAAAGTCTACGCCGCTTGGTACATGTCTAGCAAGGTAGTATATATCTTAGAAGTACTTCGAGCAAATTACTGATGGTGCCCTTCCCAGAGATTTAAGCGGTAAGTGATAATTTCCACAAGAAGTGTGTATCGTGATCCCTTCAATTTGTCACAGCAAACCGTGCGACCACACTTCTCAGGACTATGTGTTTTAGCTGCACCAGATGTGCACGGTGTAGAAGCTTGCATTCGACTTTTGTATCAGGCACCGTCTGCTTAATGGAAACTGTCTGCTCTAAAAGCTAGCACTGAAGTGTCCCAGCCAGTGGCGTACCAACTTGTTTTTGAGTGGGGAGGCAAACCAGACCCCCCCCCCCCCCCCCCCAGGGCCGGGGGCAATGCCCTTGATATCCCTGTGGCGCAGCCGGCTAGTGTTTGCCCTGCCCAGTGGCGGCTGTTCCAGGGGGGGGGGCAAAACACATGCCTTGCCCCCGCCCCCCCCCCTCTGAAAACTGGGGGGCTTCCTTGCCCCACCAGTTGGTACGCCCATGGTCCCAGCCCGTGTATTAAAAGAAGTCAAATTTAAGGGTTTTACGTGCCAAACTGGTGCAGGACATCCTGCATGCCGCTGCGGTGGATTAAGGATTAATTTCAACCACCTGGGGGCTCTTTAGACATGCAGCCGAAATCTCGATTACACGGCACCTTCCCCGCAAAAGCCCATGTCAGATTGCGGGCACGTCGGCCGGGGTTTGCATCCCCCATTTGAGGATTCATAGGCTGGCACTTTGCCTACGAGCCAGCAAGGCGACATTTTTTGTATTGAGATGGGAGATTTAATTTTCCATTTATGCAACTACGGCATGATCAGTAATTTTGGTCATTCTACATCAGGGCATTTGTTTGAACTGTTGGTTCTGACTGCCCCCCTTCCATTGCTACAAAAGATCTTCTCTCCAAAGTAACCGGGTGTGTTTAGCAGATTTTTCAAGTAAAAAAGTATTAGATTACCATTTCAAACACAGATCAGGTCCCGTAACATCTGCTGTTTGCCATATTAGGTGATTTTGAGCTGTAGCAGTGTGCTCATGCACAACACTAACTGAATATATTGCATATGATGCTTTTCCTTGGTTTCATTTCAGGAGATGCACAGTCACCGGCCCGCAGGCTGCTGCTGCAAATGTGCGAGTCGGGGGACCAACCAGCCATAGTTACCAGGTCCTACTTAAATTATTGTGTCATTCTTACTTCTGTGTAGTTTACTTCAACTAAAAGTATCTGCTGCTGTAATTTCAGTACTTTCTGCATCAGCTGGTGTAATATCTTAATTGTAATTGTTTTTTCAACTACCATTAAAATTATTTTGGCATGTTCAAGCTCATTTCAACGAAGACGTTTACAACTCCCCGTAATGCCGAATCAGAGCGCAGCTCTTGAGGAGGAGGAGGGGAGAGTACGGAGGGGACGGTATGCCCCTCCTCCTCATCCGTACCCTCTCCTCATCTACTCCTCCCGTGCTCCTCCCCCTCCTCCTCCGTTTTTCTCGCTCCTCCTCCTCCCCCTCCTCCTTCCTCCCGCTCTGTGCATTATGGAAAAAGTCCTATAAGGCACCGCACAGTTACGCCAGCGGCGACACCGCTCAAGTCGGAAACAGACGCCCAAGAGCTGCGCTCTAATAAGAAAAAACGTCTGCACCATTGGCCTTTCCATAAGCATAAGGGACAAGCTTAGGTCTCAGGGATTGCAGAGGCTGTATTGAAATCAACTAAGAGAAGAGGGCATGAGTAATTGAGTGTGCTATAAGTCGATTACACCATAGCGGTCCTTTCACATATACAGTGCACTGCTATCAGCACCGACTTTTGCAATAATATAGCGCTGACTTGGCACCGATACTGCTTCAGTATAGCCTGGTACCGGGGACATTGCAAGAACTTGATGGTGCTTGTGATTACGATAACTTACTTCCATCTGAGAGTAACATGTTTGATGACATGCACAAAAAAAAAAAAGACTATCTTGCATAAAAACTGTACACCTTGTCTAGTTCAGTAAGAAGTAAACTTGAGCGTCAAAGGCACTCTCAACACTAAGAACACATTTGTCACCATAATGAGATCTCTTGAAATGGATTTCGGTGCAGAGAGATTTCAGTGGCTTTACGATTATGATGTAAGTTGGCTCCACATGTGAGCCTCATTGTATTCATGAACCGGCCTTTAGTCACAGCACAGTCAAAGGCTAGAATACAAACAAAGTGACTCTGAGGTTAAAAGTGCAAGGTCATGGTGCATTCAGCGCACTTAATAGACCGATCTCACCAGGCAGTTTGACTATGCCACCGCTGTCGCAATGCATCGAGGGAACTTTTAGTCTTTCTGCATGTGCGACAACCTTGCTGGACCTCTGCACATGTAGAGCACGAGACGGCACGGCACAAGCCCTCTCATGCACTACCGTCTGCCTCCCGTGAGATAAAATTATGGCGGCGTCACGCATGCACCAAATGCTTAGTGAGGTCAGTCTATTGGTTTAACCATTGATATCACAAGCACAGAAAGATGAGTACAGTGACATGGTATTTTTGGTGCTGCTTTATTGGCCCCGTTAGCTTGTAACATTGGTTGTGTCTGAGAAAATATAGCACACTGCAACTCTAAGGATCTGGAGCAACAGGTTAAACTGCAGAATCCAGGGATCTGTCCCGAGTTTAGTCCCTGTGCCGGCCTGTTTATCCGGTCATGTAATTACTACTCAATGATGCACAGAAAACAAGGCTCAATTTATCAGCATTGCACTGGCTAAAGCCTACTTACTCGTCTGCATGCAGTCGCCAAATTAACATTCAGTGCTTTATTTGCTTTGCTTTTTTGTGTAGACATTGCAGACAAAGCAGTAGAATTCTCAAAGCAACAACAGATGCTGGAGGGGCTAGTATCTATATTTTCATTATCAAAGTATTTCATCTGAGTATGATGCCAACTACATCCAACAGAGACCCCGCCGTGAACGCTGCCAGCAATGATGACTGCAGCAGCCAGAACGAAAATGTTGTGTCGCCAACCTGCGACACCAGTCGCATCTCGGCATCACCACCGAGGAAGCGGAGACCGTTAGTACGCGGTGAGTGTCTAATAATTCCCGGTTATTGATTCTCCGTTTAGTTCCTCCTTGTGTGGATGTTGAAGGCAGTATTAGAGCTGTTTTAATTGGTATGCATTACAAATGAAATAACATGATTGTTTCTAGTCATTTTGAGGCGCTTCTTCAAATGAGAAGAGCTTGTGGTGCATAAACAGAAATTTCGTTCTTATTCAACTGCAAATACTATCTTAATAAGGCTGAGGCATTCGTTAGTCAAGTGGTTCTCAAATGGGAGTCCGTGAAGGCATTTTAGAGGTCCGCGAAGCCCTGCCTCATCAGAAAAGCCCGGCAATAAAAGTTGTCTTTTTTCCTATCGAGAAACGTTTCCGCTTTCGGGCGAGCTCGTGTGTATGTCAATTAGAGATGTCTACTTCACACTAGCCCTTATTGATATCCATTTATTAAATCATTATTATATTTAACCTACACCTTTTTCCTCTCTTCACCACAAACGGGGTCCCCCATCTTCTCCACCGAGCCACAAGGGGTTCGTGGAACACCGATAGTTGAGAACCACTGCGTTAGTCCATTGAAAAACAATGCATTATTGGCTTTCCCACTTCTGTGCAGGCATTAGCCTCCATTGTACAGCAGACAAGTTATTTCCCACAAATACCCAATTCACTGTTCTTATAATCACCACACACAGCAGCAAGAATCTAGCGACAAGAAAATTTTTCTTATGGGTAGAAACACACGTCGGAACTATTTGGGAGGTGGGGGGGGGGGCGATGTATTTTGCCCCCTCCCCCATATTGTTTATATTCAACTTTTGAAATATCCCGGGGGGGGGGGGAGGGGGGGGGGCGTGATGTGACGTGACGTGACGTCCACCTCCTTGTTCCAACTCCACTGGTAAGAGAGCCCTACTGCAGAAAAAACAAAATGCTAACTGACTGATGAAGCACATAGCACAGGAATATGTGCGTAGTAATTCCAGGTTCTCTTTTCTGGAGTGCACTATAGTAGGCGACAGGTTAAGAATCCAAGGGAAGCTCCACCGATAAAGCACTCGATTCTTTCCGCTTTGGCAGAGTGAATGCCGGAGAAGGGGCAAGGAGGGACTCACCTCCTCTCCAGCGTTTGCTCAGCTAAAGTGGAAAGGGAGGAGGGCTTTGCTGGAGGAGCTTCCCCTGCACTCTTAACCAATCACTGACTGTAGAGCCCACCGACAAGTGGGCTCTACAGTTAAAACTACGTGGAGCTTGGTTGTTCGACTTTCCTTGACTACTGCTTGATGTGGCATGTAGTAGGTGACACCGTCACTGTCTTCGCTTTCTACTTTCTCCGCCATACTCTCTTTTCCATATTTTCGTATGGCCAAGTCATACCCAGACAGGATCTTTTCATTACGTCTAAGCGTTCTGGTGGGTTGCATCAGTCGTTTTTCAGCACCTTCCTTATTGTTCTGTAGGTGTACCAAAGGCTTCCAAGGAAGGGATACCTCGTAACGTTCTCCGTTGCTTGTTATCGTTTCTTCGAAGGACGTTAGTATGGAGTTGTTCGAACTATCGCTTTCGTCTTGCTTGACACCTATAGCCTCCAGATCCCACAATTTTCGTAGAATGTTTTCGGTGTTCCTCGTTATTACTGACGTCCTGAGTGCGACCGTTTGGGAGTGTTGTAACACTGTGGAGCTTAGGCTCATGGGACCGTGCACAGTCCATCCGAACGATGTCTCGATGGCGTTGATATTGCCATTGAGTTTCGTGACTTGTCCAGTTACAAAATCTCAATAATGTTCAGCGCCGATTAAAATGTCGATAGGGTTGGAATTGTCGTCGTTAGCGATAACCGCGATCGCATAATTCAGCTGACGTAGCTCCTGCACGACGTTGTTATCCGGTTGTGGCAGTCGTTGATCGCAAATTATGCTGGTTTCAAGAGCCTCAAGGTGATAAGTATGTACATTGTGTTTGCTTTTCAGAGTAATGAAGACCCTTCGAAAGTTCTTCTCCTGTTTATGTCCATTGAAATAACCTACTGCAAGTCGTTCGCTTCCCACAACTTTGCAGCCCAGTCTCCGATATAAGTCTTCGATTATAAAGGATCTCTGGCTACCGCCGTCAAACAATACTCTAGCCATCGCTTTGTTTTTGGTTCCAGAAGCCCTTGCTTCGGCCGTTTGTAACAGCACTATCCTTTGGTCCGAAGTCTCAGTCGTTGATTTTAGCTGTAACGGAGCTGTGCCAGCGACATTCTTTTTTCCGCCGTTCTTAAATTTAGGGTCGCGCATCGTGGAAGCGTGTCGGCCTCGACAGTGCCTACATGTGATTCGTCTTCGGCAGTTCTTAGACATGTGGTTCACAAGGGTGCAGCGGAAACACCTGCCGTGTTTCTGTAGCATCGTCTTCTTTTGTTCCAGTGGAACTGTCGAAGTGCACTCTTCCGTCTTGTGTTCTTTAGATTTGCAAATGAAGCACGGTGTTCTGAGATCCGTTTGTTGAAGTAGTGCAGACGATGATGGTTTAAAATTGTTCTGCTTATCAGGATACCTTTTAACTCCTGCCAGTGCATTCGTTTTTTTTGTCAGAGGGTGCTCCAATCTCGCAGGAGTATACGTTTGTTCTCGACTTTCGATTTCTACCTTCAAGGCTTGGAGTAAAGATGTTAGCGCTGCTGGCTATTCTCTGGGAACTCGCGCTCGCGCTCCTTCCTCATTTTGTTCTTGGGCGTTCCCTTCCTGTCGAATCGCCTCTCTGTTATAGTGAAGCATTATCTCTGAAGGAAGGAGTCTCACGAGGAGATGATGTAGCATCGAAGAGCAAGATTCTTCACTCACCCCGAGAGACTTGAGTCCACCTACATGGGCCTGCACATTATCGTAAAGACCTCGAAGTCCACGTACGTCTTGTGCAGAAGGTACCGGGTTAAGGTCAAGTAGCTTTTCCATATGATCTTGTATGAGCCGTTTCTCGTTGCCGAATCGGCTAATAAGGATGTCTACTGCGTCCTTGTAGCAAATGGACGTTGATGGGAGTCCGACAATGGCTGCAGCGGCTTCTCCCGTTAGCGAAGTTCTCAAGTAATTGAACTTGTCGCAAGCTGTTAGTGCCTCGTTGTGATGAACCGCTTGATGAAATTGCTCCCAAAACGGTTGCCAGTGCCGCTGTTAGCCGTTAAACTTTAGAAGCTCAAGTTTGGGAAGCTTTACCTTTAAGGTACTCGTCGGTTCTCCAATTCTTGCACAGTTTCCAGAGTTTGTTGTTTCGGTCGGGGTTCGTTGTTGTAGCGTTCGGATTGAGTAGTCCAACTGAGCCAGGTAGGTGACGGCGCGGTCGTTGTACTCGAATGCCCGGGTGTATTCTTGTTCCGCGTCGTCCCCCAGGAAAGGCTCGATGGCGACATCTGTTTCGGTCATTTGGGTATGCAGACTACCCAATCGTTGCCTGAGGATTTTGATGTCCCGTTCGATGATCGGATCACGTTGAAGAGCAGCGTCGATGTCTGGTATCAGCCTTGTCAGTTGGCTTCGCAGGGCCTTCCGTTTCAGTTTAAGACGATCCATAAGTAGTCGTCAACCGTGGCTTGAATGGAACGTATCAGTAGTCCTGCGTTAGTTGCTGAAGATTCGGTAGTTTCCTCGTCCAGGTTCCTCTCGTTGCGTCTCATTCCCGGGTTTCGGCACCATATAGAAGAAATTCTGGACGTTATGGTGTTTAAATCGATAGCAACTTTATGTACACTATTTACAGTCACAAAAGGGACATCGAAGCTAGGCGAAAACGGTTGGAGCCGGCCTGCCCCGCTGCTCGTGAAAATCGTCGGTCGATTTGCTCGTGACTTTGGGTTGTTCTGTCCGCTGTTTCGTCGTCTTCTAGCCCGACGTGGAAGTTTTAGAGCGCAGCTCTTAGGGGCCCGTTTCCGGCTTGAGCGGCGTCGCCGTCGCCGTCGCCGTCGCCGTCGGCGTCGGCGTAACCGCGCGGTGCATCATGGGAAATGTCCCATAATGCACCGCGCGAGCCCCCCACCGGGGTCACGTGACCTCGTGGGGGGTCACGTGACCCCCCGAAGTCACGTGACTCCCTCCTCGAGGTCACGTGACCCCCAGGTCACGTGACCCCCGCCGATGTCGCGTGACCCCCCGATGACGTCATCGTCACTGATGACGTCACCGGCATCCACATCGTCATCGTCATCATCACTGATGACGTCATCGGCATCCACATCGTCATCATCACTGATGTCGTCATCGGCATCCACATCGTCATCGTCATCATCACTGATGACGTCACCGGTATCCACATCGTCATCGTCATCATCACTGATGACGTCACCGGCATCCGCATCGTCATCGTCATCATCACTGATGACGTCACCGGCATCCACATCGTCATCGTCATCATCACTGATGACGTCACCGGCATCCACATCGTCATCGTCATCATCACTGATGACGTCACCGGCATCCACATCGTCATCGTCATCATCACTGACTGATGACGTCACCGGCATCCATATTGTCATCGTCATCATCACTGATGACGTCATCGGCATCCACATCGTCATCGTTATCATCACTGATGACGTCACCGCCATCATCACTGATGACGTCACCAGCATCCACATCGTCCTCGTCATCATCACTGATGACGTCACCGGCATCCACATCGTCATCGTCATCATCACTGATGACGTTACCGACATCCGCATCGTCATCGTCATCATCACTGATGACGTCATCAGTGACGTCACTGATGTCGTCACCGGCATCGGCATCGTCATCGTCATCATCACTGATGACGTCATCAGCGACGTCACTGATGACGTCACCGACAATCGCATCGTCATCGTCATCATCACTGGTGAAGTCATCAGTGACGTCACTAATGACGTCATCGGTACCCGCATCGTCATCGTCACTGATGACGTCATCAGTGACGTCAGTGATGACATCATCGGCATTGGGGGTCACGTGACCCCCCCCCCTGGTTAGTTTAACCCCCCCCCCCAGTGCCCTTCCCTCCTCCTCCTCAAGAGCTGCGCTCCAATTCGGCGTTACAGGGAGTTGTAAGCGGCTTTCATTTTTTACACTCCCGGCTTGAAGTCGGGCATCACCACGCATAGGCCACATTCGCACCTCGTAAAGAAACCATACGCGTGCGTATTCAACTCGAAGTATGCACTCTGTGCTTGACGTTTGAGCGAGCGATGTCTTCAGCCACGAGAAGGGACGACGGCTCGGCGACGTCTTCGTGCAATCGGCTTGCTGGTCGGATGTGTCGTACGGGATGAATATCAGTTCTTTTGATCGGTCCAAAACTTCTCTTTCGAAGGAAGACAGAATTCGCCGGTACCGTCAACGACAGTTCTGAAGTAGGGGTCCAACGTCCGTCGTCCGCTGCCATCCGCTAGTGCCACGATACGCGAAACGACGCCATGTTGACAATTATGCAGTGAACGCACAGAATGCTTCTGGTTGTCTGTGCTACCTTTTTTTGCAATCAATGTATTTGCAGCCTTTTAGAAGCCACAAAAAATGTGTTTTATATTTGTAATATTGTGTGTGTGCCTTCAATGACCCACGACTTTGATTAAATTTGGTGGTCGCATCGATACCTTAGAAAACGGCCCGTGACCACGAAAAAGAGAGTGAGCGCGAATCAAACCGGCCAGTTCTCGATCGGCAGTTTTCGGACGGAAAGAAACCGAATTTCGAGCCGCAAATTTTGTTCTGGGTACTTGGGCTCTCACATGTCACGTACAACTAGAAACCTCGGCGAGCATAAATACCCTGTCAGTGTCCCTTTAAGGACTTCCAACAGCTTTCGCTGCTGACAGGCATCTTAACAGAACTAATGCCAAATTGTTGCATTCAGTATAAAGCCCGCAATAAAAGCAGTTTTGATGACCGAAGAGATGGGAATGTTGCGGCTCGTCTCTTGGTCCTTGGGAGCAAATACAAAAATTTGCAAATGAACCCACCAAGGATACATGTTTTTTCATATGTGAACCGAATAGAAGTCATCCAAGGAAATTAAATTGGCTATTATAGTGGATAAAACAATGTTCTTTTTTTTTTCTTTTCATGTGGCTCTTTCCTGCAGGAAAGGCTCCCAGGTCGGATGTCGTCGCGTTCCTCGACAAGCGAGACACGAATGAACGTGTGCTGAAGGAGCGGCAGCTCAACCTGGAGGAAAGGAGGCTGGCACTGGAAGAAAAGCGCCTGGCCCTGGATCAGCGCAAATTTGACGAGGAGGCCCAAGGCAGGGCAGAGGAGAGGCACCTCCAAGCAGAAGAGAAACGCCTGCTCCTGGAGGTGCTGCTCAAGCAGGTTAAGAAAGACTAAATGCAGAGAATAAAACAGCTAGGAAACATTTTATTTAATATCAAACGAAAGATGCTCCTATATTCATTACTTAGTTTAAACATAATACATTACACATTTTAAAACCACCATACTTTCTTAAAAAACAGGTTGAACTTCATAATCAACCACTGCTAGAGCACAAACATGACAGATACTTTCTTACCATTTACATGTACAGGTTGGTGTCAAACATCAGATTTCAAACTGAAACTTGTACACTACGTAACCAAATTCTGCTATCCTACTAGTAGCAATTACATTTCTTTACCTCTAAAAACCACAACACATTTGCATTTTGTTGTCTACAAACGACAACAGAAAAGAAAAAAAAAAAGCTGAGAACTAACAAATGCATTCAAGCCAAATTAGATAAGCTTGACAAAAGCTGCAGGTACTGCTGTAAACATGCAAAATTACATTAGCACTCTGAGGTATTCCCAGCAAAATGCATTACTTGGCCCAAGGAACAATGGAAGACCCATGTGAAACACATCAATGAGAAAAAGTGATGACAATATGATAAAAAAACGCAACAAAGACATTGGTTAAACACTACTGCCTCGTTATAAAGAATAGTTCCAGATCGCCAAGTTTGGAAATTTATATTGAAGTTGTTTGTCCCACAAGAATAGGACATATTATTCATGTATTAAGATATGTTACGAAAGAATTGTAGATAAAATCTAGGCGACTGAATTTGAAAATAGTGAAATTTCTACACAAGATGTTGCACGTTCAAATTGCAATTAATCTTCCTCCGACATAGAACGCCCTGCTCAGCGAGATAATGCCATGGTCCCAGAAATCTGATTCAAAGTACACCTCAAAAAACGTAATATGGCGAAACAAAAAAGAAAAGTTTAATGATTCTTAGATTTCAAAATTAACACTGATATCTTAGCCACAATATCTGAGCAGTAAGCTTCTGTACACACAATGCCTCAAATGGGCACAGGTAAAAAACATTTGCCAAGCTTAGACTGGAGTTAAACCACTGCTAAGGTACTCCTGAAGTGTCGGGGGTGCCAGATCAAAAAAAACTTGCCACCTGGCTGCCATAGGTACAAGTATGGCAATTTGCCAGTATGGTGGCTACCTTGTACATCCGGGCCACTCGTTGCCTCAGGATTTTTTGGTTTTTTTTGAAGTCCACGAACGCGAACTCTGCCACGATCTTGCCAAATCCCCACTCCACGGCTTGTCGCACAGTGCTCATTCGACTGTTGAAGAGCCGCTGCATTGCTGTGGCTCCAGAAACCCCATATGGCTTTATTATGAGTGCCTTGATGGGATATGCAGGGTCTCCATACAGCACGTACGAGCGCCCCTGAACGAGCCTCTGTAATTTTTCATACAGGCAGCTCCGCTGCAGCATGCCTGCAAATGAAATGCGAGTTCAACTTGCTTAACATTGAATATGTACAGTTCAGTAAATAACTCAATAACAAAAACTTTAAGGGCTGGTTTACACATTTGCACTAGTTAGATTGCAGCAACCTAAATGACAGCAAAAGCAAAGTTAAAAAGACAACTGTGTTGCATATTCCACACAAAGTGGCACCTTCCATCAACTTATGTTTGTTGCCATGCGCCATATGAAGCACAGTTGTGCAGCTGGGCTTGTCATGCTGTTGTTTACGTTTCAGTGAATACCAGCAAAGAAAATATCTTAACCAGGCTCAAAACAGTATGTTTTGTTTTGAGGAGGCTGTTAACAACACAACGTTCACTGCACCGAGAGAATTAAAATGGCAGAGGTCCTTCAGTGGGCCAGCCTGAAGCACGAGTTGCCTGCATTTTAAAACACTTTGGTGTCTCGTGAGCCTTGAGCGTGAAATCTTAGCCAAATCACGGTGAAAAGCAACGAGCGCATGCTGCAAGACTAGCATTGGAAAGGAACAGCCTTCAGTTCTAATCCTGAGCGACTATAGAACTTTGCAAATATTGTCTTCTGCGCACCGCCACCTTTGTCTGCTGGGCTGTGGAATGCCTTCTGAGCATGCGCTGTTGCTCTGCTGTACAGTATATCATACGCTGTGCATGCCTCCACAGCTCAGTGACTAAGCATTTCTTGCCCCGGTGATAAGCGATGCAAAGGTCTACAGCTGCAGCAATTCTGTGCGTTAGTGCCCTCTATCTACGCGGCGGGTAATTACAGAGAGGAAAAAGTCTATATCCCTGTCCCACATGGACACGAGAGTGGTATAGAGATGTCTAGGAACTTTTGGCCATGCGCACGAAGGTTAGAGGCAATGGGCCGTTCTGATCTCTGCATACGCAAGGCCCAGTTAGAGGTCAGCAGAGGGCGAGGAATACTCATTTATGACAGAAATTGTGCAGTGTTTCCCAAGGGGTGCATCATAATATTTGGCTAATGAAGTGAACACTGCATGGAGCTTCATGAAAACTGCGCCCACTTCACAGAAGTTTGTCGATACATACAACACCAACCTCTTATTGATCAACGCCCTGATGAACCAGATGGGATATGAGAACAGCAGACGGGCAGAAATAAACAACACGAAATCTCATGTTTACATCAAGAAGATGAAATGTGAATTAAGAGATGTTCAAGAATCCTTAGAGCAGCACTCAAATAGTCAACCAAAAGCTTTGAATAGGACGACATGTCTATAGCAGACCTTGCGACGGCGATGGTAGAGAAGGCAAACAGGGCCACTGTTCAGAAGGAGGTAGCTGTCGATGCCTTAACACCAAACACGAGGCTCCTGTTATTATGGCACAAGAAGAACATTGAACTGCATCTGCATACGCTTAGGAGAATATAGGACTTGTAGCAACTCAGAAAAGTAGACCGGCTGACCAAGCAAGCAAGAGAACATGCCTGCAAGCTGGAACGAGGCGACTGGTTCAAGCTGTGTGAAGCATTCAACAAACGTATGGCATCACACAACGTGTGGCCCATATTTAACACAATGCTAGGAAAGACGAAAACCAGGCAGATAGTTAAGAGAAGCTATAATAAAATAAATCATGGAGCGAACGAGATGGACTTGTTTCCTTGTAGCCAGCTGCTCCAATGAAAGAGATCTACGAACCGGAGAAGGAGACATGAGCACACCGTAGAAGGCATATTTCATGACCAGGGAATTCGAAGTGGCCAATGCAAAAAGAATGGTGAAGAGCACGCCAGGGCTATATCAAATCAGCGGCAGCATGCCACGGAACCTACCTATGAGAATGAGCGAACAGAAATTAAAGCATTTTTAAAAAAGTAAGAGCGCCGAAAACACAGACAAGGACGAAGTGAAGAAACACAAGGCACCTTGTGTTTGTTCACTTTGTCCTCATCCTTGTCTGTTTTCAAAGACTATGAACCAACTAGCCGACCTATCCACTTGTGGATAGGTGGGCTAGTTTGTTCAATGTTGACATGTGAAATTTCAATGTAAATGTGAAAGTTCAATGTGGACATGTGGAAGTCCAATGTGGAAAATGGGAACTCCGTTTCATTTTCCACATTCAGAAAACGACATTCCCTTCAGCATCCCCTAGCAAGACCCGACACCTAATACCTCAATCTAATTACGCATAAATCTTTATTAAACTGGTAAACAAAGTTTGAGATATGCAAAGTCACCAAAACCTGCTACTCTTAGCGGTCAAGATGCGGTACAGCCAACAGCGCAACCAAAGGCGCTGTGTTGGCGCAGTCAACACCATGCCAACTAAGTCATTGGCATTGCTTTTTTTTGTTTATTTTGTGCTTTTACAGGCAGGTCAACACGCGGTGCTAGCAGCACGCTCATTGTTGTCACGTGATTCACAGAACACTGATGCTCTAGGTTGCACTCAAGTTGTGTGCTCAGAGCCCTTTATACAGAATATGGGGCTCTGCATGCGCTGAGTCCACCGTTGCTTCGTCACAAACGAAATCTGTTCCTGTAGCTGTTCAACTCGATATTCACGAAACGTATACCACAAAGTAGGCACGTACGACAAAACTTGATAATAAGTCAGTATGAACGAAGTGAAAGAAAGAAGTTTTGCATAGGCTATGATACAGGCGCGTAGCCGGGGGGAGGAACGCCCCCTAGCGGGCGGCGAATGCGGCTGCGGCATACGCGCGCAACCGAGGTCTCCAGTGCACACCGGAAAAATCGGAACTGCTGATCCTGAGGAATTCAAGGGAGAAGCAAGTGGACCACATACGAACAACCATAGGCGGTCAGCTGGTACCCACACCTAAGGAAGTCAGGACCCTAGAACAATTGATAACACACGGCTTGGGCAACAAGAGTATGATCGACAAATTAGCTACGGTGACAAGTCAAGTGAACGGAATGCTGAGACGAATCACAAACAAGACGCACAGACTAGAGGAGAAGGAGGCAACCTAACTCGTATATGCCTTCGTCATATCACGAATTACACCTGGAACAGCGCACCTACGGCTCAACAAGGCGAAGTTTCGCCGCGTAGAACATTCATAACTCGATCAGACGACAAAGTTCTCGAATTTAGGAGAACGCCAAGTATAAAAAATAAATAAAAAAAACATTCCGCTCCCTAGAATCGAACCCTAGCTTTTCGCGTGGGAGGCATGCATGATAACTGTTAGGCCATGGGCGCACTGTCTACTTGACTAGCTGCACGCACGACAATATCAAGAACAAGGAATCTATTTTCAACAAGGGGTCCGGGAGAAAATCAAGACAAACCGAATCCCGAGGAATATAAACCCGTACATAGACGCCGATCATTGCAAGGCAAGGTTTGAGGCACTTGCGCGGACCTGGGATTCACGGGAGGGAACCCCCTTTGTGGATGCAGCGGGCCCCAGGCAAATGGTGGCCACGAAAAAATCATGGACACTGCCTCGATGTATGCACACTCGGCGGAGCGTGCAGAAGTGGCCATACCACTGGCTGTCACTTGCAACGTGCGAGCCACCATGCTGACAGATTCACAGCAAGCCAGCCGCAACTTCGCTAGAGGAACAATTGGCACGGCGGCAGCCAACCTGCTTAAGAAAAGTGATCTACAAAGTGTGCATATCGTATAGACGCCGGGACATATGGGACACCATGGCAGCACTGAAGGCCACTGGAGCCTCGGACTGGAGGCACACACTCAACTCCTCTAATTCTTTCTACCCTCATCCCCCCCCCCTCCTCTCCTTCAATAAAGATGTTTACAACAAAAACCGGCATTGTCTGTGACCACGCAAAATGAGCAACTGAAGTGAGGGTGGCACGCGCTCGGCAGCCCCTCTCTCTCCCTCTTGGGTCACGTGCCAGGCTTGACCGGAAGCTCAGAGAGGGAAATGTAAGGGGGAGAGGGAAATTCCTGCTCCTCACGTGTTCTACGCTCTGCTTTCAGCCATGTCGCGATATTTGTCAAGACACCGCTGCCTGCCCGTCTCACATGATTATAACGAAACTTGACACTCGCCGAAAGCAAACATTGAGAAACAATGCAGTACATGCGGCAGCAATCTCTAACAGCTGAAATACTGCTTGTCACAATATAAGCAATATATATACATATCAGGGGCGGCCAAGCTGCGTCTCGCGAGTCGCATGCGGCTCTTCGCGTGTTAAAGTGCGGCTCGCGGCTCCCTCCCCCCCCCCCCCCCCCCCCCCCCCCCACACACACACACCCGTCTCCCTCCCGGTCACACGAGCACTTCCCTACAAGGAGAAATGGAACGCGTTTTAAATTGAGAGAGGTTGCGGTTTGGGTAGTCGTATGCTACTGCTACTTTACGTACCATGGGACTGCTTTTGACTCGGATAGATTGCAAGTAGTTCGAGTTTCGTTTATTGCTCTGAGCAAAAGTTTTTTTTTTTTTATAAACAAAAGCTTGCCCCCCCCCCTTCCCCCCCCCCCCCCCCCCCCCCTCGCGGCTCTTGGGAGTTTCGGGAGTTTGTTTCCGGCTCTTAGGCCGGACAGCCTGGCCACCCCTGATATATATGAAGTGCTATATTTCTTAAACATAAAATGAAAAATTTTACTTTCTATACTTTTCAGTGTTGTGAATCATTTTCACACTGTTTAATGCCATCAGGGATGCCTGCACCAACAATATGTATTAGGACAAAAAACATGGGTTTTGAGACCAGGTGCTTCTAAGGATCATGCTATTACTTACCAGCATCATGTCGTCTCCCTCGGTAAGGTCCATCGAACTCACAAATGATGCCATTTGCGCACATGACGGATTGGAATTTTATGACGTGGTGTCGCTTGTGCCCGGAGAAGTATTCGGTCTGGGACTGCGAGGGACGGCAGATGGCCCGTGCTGTGCCGTCCAGGAATCCCCAACAGTTTGTCAGCGGGGCTCCCTTGGCATGCACTGCCTGAGAAAGTACAAAAGGGTGACCTATTAATACAGTCAAATACCAATCACATTTTTTGATTGATGTCAAATAAAATGCTAATTTGACACCATAGCTGCCGTCTCTTTTTACAAAAAAAAAATGCTGTAAAACTGCATATTTTTTTAGCCCAAATTTATGTTTGCAAAGGCATGTTATTCTGATAAAAACGACTACTGGCAACCTATATTCTTTGGTGACCCTGCAGGAGAAAGACCTTTTTTGTAATTAAAATGTTTATTTATTGATTTATTGTGTATTTAATGTTATTTATTATAGGAGGTATGATACTGATCCTTCAGCCAAACACACCCGAAATTGCAATTTCAGGTTACAGGCCAGTGTGTTCATTACTTGTTCATAGTTTCCAGCCTTTTTCACAACATAGCTCACACAACATCTGTTGCGCTTTTATCACTAGAGCACTCGGTCGAGTCGAGATCATCTTTACTCTCATTGGACAGGAGCCATTTCTTGTCACTTGACTCAGAAGGAAGCGGATGATTTTGTTCCGCTTATTATGCCTTCGGGTGGCTGAACAAAAAGTTCCTCCTTGCAACTACACATGGTGGATTACACTCTAAGCAAGTTAGACCTCTGAGTAAGCTTGGAGCACCAAACATTTAAGTAAATTAATGTTTTACCAAAGAAAATTTTCACCGAATTGTGTTTAATCAGTCAAAGTGTCATGATGGGTTTTCTTGTAATCGGCAGTTGCAGCCAAAAGTAGAAGTGACGAGAGAGCTTGTCATTGGCAGTTAGGGGTTAATGCATTTTGCCATTCAACTACTTCCTGGGGGTTACTTGTAGCCATAAAGCAAGCATGTCAGTTTCATACCAAATGTTTAGTAACCATATTTTGTCATTCAATTACGTAACATTTAGTGATCGCATCGCCTATTCGTGACTCCAGCGAGCTATAGGGGGCGCGCTGGTCACGCAAAATGGCGGGCAAAAGGAGGTCAATTTCGTCGTTCAGCACGCAGACCACCATAAAATCGGCATTACATATGAAATCAAAGCGATTATTTGACGGTAGGAACCTTATAGCCAGTGTGTAGGAATGACACGGCAGAAGCATAAAAATAATTACTGGAAACAATGTTTGTTTCTATGCTGCCTACGAGAACCAAGCAGCAATAGCAGACGACAGAGTCAAAACGACTTCCTCTCCTGAACTTCTCGGCGTTGCCGCTACGCGGCATTGATTTCGCTTGAGTCGCCAATATCAGGGGTCTCAAACACACGGGGACGCAGGCAACCGGCTATGAGTCCTGGTTCCGATGTCTCGAGCACTAGAAATGGCATGCGCCATAGTGATCTCATCTTGCCGATTTATTTTCACTTGAAAAGTAGCTTTGCTCTTTTAAGGTATTTACATAGCTTTTACTTATCTGCGTTTACGTGCCCTTTGTTTTGCCTTACACTTTACTTCCCAGCTTTTTGTAATGTACAATAATTCTGCTACTAGGCTGCAAGTGCAAGCTTTTTGTTGAAGGATGCATCTTGGCTGTGTGAAATCTCAATCAGCAGGAGCAGCTGCCAAATATAAAGCTATAAGCTCAAAATTCTTGCCATAAAAAAAAAATATATTACAATTAAAAGACAAACATTTGTTCAGAGTGTTGCAATGAAAATCGTCAGAAAAGCAAAAACCGTCAAATACACCGATTGTTTTTTTCAGAGACATGTTGAGCTTGGTTAATTCCCAAGTGAATTGAGCAACGGGAATGACAGTGAACTTGCTCTCTTGTTCTATTAAAAATGGCAGCACGTTAGGGTCAGGGCCTAGAGATGTCACTGGCGAAACTGAGTTTACAAAAAGCGTAGAGCACAAGGTCTCTCTCTCTCTCTTCTTCCCCCCCCCCCTCCCCCTTTCTAACGTTGGCCCTCGGCCTTTCCACCGTGAGCTGTCTGGCCCCCATGCTCAAATGAGTTTGAGATCACTGACCTATAATATTCGACTATATGTGGTCTATTGAAGACTTCACGAAATTATCTATAATTTAGTGACGAACTTTCCAACGTAATTATTTCTAGAACGTATAAGTGTGTGAAGTTCAGAAACATGTATATTTCCTGGAGCAATTTTTCCAGCACTGGGCACCTAGAGTTGGACATTTACATGTATGAGGTTCTTACCTGTGACATGCGCTCTAGTTCGGCCAAGTCCAGCCAGCTGTGTACATTGAGATCTTGAAGGAGGTGACTAAACGTTGTGTCGATATGCTGAAGGACTTTCGTGGTTATGCTTGACAGCGTCGACGAGCTTCTCCCGAATAGCATCTCGAGGTCGACCCACCTGTTTGGGTACGCAAGACGGCGGAGGGTGATACATAGAGCTTCTTCCCCGGCCACCACGACACCCTGGGCGGATGTCACCTTGTCAGGGATGCGAAGGCAGGAAAGGAGTTCCCCGATGTCTTCTTTGTGGAAGCGAAACAAGCTTCGAAAGATGTGGTCGTCAAGGCTGTCGACATCCAAGAAGCCGCGTTCTGACTTAAACCGCCGCTTTGGCGGTTCTGAAAACATCAAATATACATCTTCTATCTCCCTCCAACTTAAAGTGGACAATAAAAGTTGGTCCTCCAGAACGCTGAGCCGCTTCATCTTCGGGAATTGGCGGAGAAGGAGAACACGTCCACGAAGATAAAAGAGCGCGGCGAGGTCACAAGGAGGGGATTGGCTTGGCCGAACTGAATCTGGCTTTAAGCAAAGCGCGATTACCGCAAGCTGTCAAGATGTGCTACGAAGAATTCATCCAGAAAAAAGATTAACATTCATAATCGTAAATTAACCATGTGTTGTGTTCGAAAAGAGGCACTCTGATAAAACAGATAACTGGTTGCAGTAATAGTATGCGTTTATTGTTTTATATAGTGCTTTTTACGACCGCTAGTGGCGCTGTCATAGTCGCAGTACCGTAGCCCGCAGAGAACGGTCTACGAAAGCACTTTTTTGGGTCTCCGCTATGCCTCTGCTAGCGGGTCTCGTAGCGGGTAGCGGATAGCGTTGCGGAAATTCCAAAACGATCTACGAAAACTCCCTATTATCGTCCTCTGACTATAGAGGCGCGGATTTTGACCGCTGTTTTGAGGGATTAACCCTTTTCCCCAGCCTGTCAGGAATTTACTTATCCCCCGTTCCGAGACGACGCCATGAGTATTTGCTGTCCAGCGCACCGTTCGATGCTGGCAGGTTGATCCTGCTACGCAAAAGCGCTGTGCGCGTCGAATTTACCGCACCCCTCGAGGCCTGTAGCGTCGGGCTTCACCCCACCTACGCCTCCGGCCGTTCACGTTTGCTGTGAAAGATGCCAGCTCACGGTTTGGGGGATGTGACGCGGTTAACCGCCTTCGCTCGCGTATCGATGTAATTGTTTTGGACCGCTTGTTACCGATCGGACGCGTTGGAAAGACATCGCTCCGGGTTGAGAACGCTCCCATTGCGGATGGCGGCTGCATGTACTGTGTTTGGAAATTATTCCCGCATTGCATTTTGTCCGGGAGGAGACTAGCGTCTCGGTTTGATCGCATGCTAGCTCCCAGTTGGCCTTGCTTGAGCTGTCGGCGGGGTTTTGAGCGCCGTTAGTTGACAGCGTTTTAAGGTACGGATGCGCTCTTGTGGTTCCGACCAAGATCGCTTTAAACGAGTACCTTGTGGCCAGAGGCTACATTTAGAGGCTCAGCCCACTAAATCGTGCCGGGTACGCGATGTCCGGTGCGTGGACATCGGAATCCCGAAAACCACAAAGTTTCCGTTTTCACTTTATCAGTGGCTGTGCGTGTGTAATGCTCCGTGGAGTCCAGTCTGACGCGATGGGTATGATCCGTGCGTTTCTGGTTGTAGAGTCGTGAGGTTGATCCCGTTTAATTGTGCGCACAGTTGGTTCCGGATCCTCACACCGCCATATCGATGGTTGAGCCTCACGGCGGGAGTCACTCTTTCATTTCGTTTTCTCCGTTTCCGGAGGAGTGGCGGCCAGCGCGCGCTTTGCGCTGCCGCCGGAAACGGTTCTCAGCCGTGCTTGGGTTCGCGTTGGGACGCGAAGGTGTAGAGAGCGTAATTGGTCGTGCAGAGACCTGGATTAGAGTGAAATTATAAATTTAGGGCAGAAAAGACAGCTAGGTAAGGAAAGAGCTGGGCTTGTGCAGTGAAAACCTGCACGAGGAGAGGGGTGGTCTTGCGAGGATGTGACGAGTTGCTCATAGTTTTATCTTGTACAGATGCGCGGTTGGCCCGGGAAAACGTACGGTTCACGTCGGCGGGTACGTGCCCGGGAAGCCTAGAAATTATGGCAGCGGCATGGCCGTCGGCGGCCTATAACTGTTGTGCGTTGGGTCAGCCCGTCGCTGTACTAACTGCAGCCTTTGCACGAATGGGTAGCGGGTGTTGGAATGCGGCGGTAAATGCTGTAGACACTTCGACGCTGCGGAAACTGTTTATGCAAAGCAAATATAGTTTATTAGCTCGTCCATCTCCAAGACTGGCAGGTTAGATAATTTGGCATTTCGGTATCGCGCTCGTTGCGCGGAAGTTGAGAGGTGCGTGTGTGGGATACTTACATTGTTCGAACCCTGCCTGTCCTGACAGTCGCAAGAAGACCTTTCAGTCATGCGGCGGGTTGACTTGGTTGGGGGCGAGCTTTGTGCGTAACTTAAGGCGTTTGTATGTGGACACGTTGCTCGATTCGAGAACGTTGAAGAGTCGCGAGACGCGTTGACGGCGTACCTTTATTGCTCGATCCCGGCCGGCCTTGACATCAGCTGGAAGACTTTTTAGTTATGCGGTGTCGGGGTTTGGCCGGGGGAGAACTCTAACGTGCGTCGATGCGCTTGTCGCGGTGGTCGAGCCCGTGCGGGGTTCGGTGCGGACCGCCGTTACGCGCTCGTCGCTCCTGTTGGGTGGTCACCTCCAAGCGGTGAAGCGGTAACGTCTGGTAGATGCCCAGACGTTACGGACATAGCTTTGTAAATACGCTGTCCAATGAGATCTGTTGTTCGCACGATCCAGGTACTGTTCCCTTTGTACTGGTGTAAGTGGCCGGTACCACGGAACAACGGCCTCTCAGTAAGGTGATTACCCCTTCTGATGAAGGCGTGCTGCGTAGCTTGGCTGTAGCGTGTTTGTAGCTCGGGTAGCGTGAACGCCGAGTGCATGAGTGCCCGTCATGGGTTGTTGGCAGCGTGTTTTTTCGAGTCGCACCTCGCGAACGGGACTCGATTTGTGACCGTTTCTGTTTTACGGAAGGTTATTCTTAGTTTTTGAGGTTTTGTGCGTTCTTCGCGAGTGTGTTGGAGATTAATATTGTTGTCAGAGGTGTGCGGTTCTGACGCTCTGGTAGATTGCTTACTGTTTTAAAAGAATGCGGTTGAGTTTGATAGGAGCAACCGTTGAAATGTTGTATAGTGGGCGTATGTACGATTTGAGTATACAATGAGTGCTCATACTTTTTAGTTAAGGAATAGTTTTCCTCTTATGTACCTCTTGAACGTGTAGCGTGACGTTCTTGATGACTGCCTGCCCGTTAGTATTGAAATGAAAAGTTTTGTTTTTATTTCGTGGCATGTCCAACGATCGAAAGATTTTGGTTTCGTCTCGCTGTCTGATATAGCGTGCCGCTATTCGTTTTTGCGCATTTCGCTGTCTGTTACATTAGGGACGAAAGCGAACTTTAAGTGCCGGCGTGTTGTGTGTGCCTGACTGCCCGTCCGTGTTGTGAGCTGTGGTGCTCCGGACCAGTTCGTGGACCGTGCTCCGTCGGTCACGAGCTTCTCAGTGAATCAACGTTCACCGCTGACCTGCTTGGTTTGATGCCATCATCATCATCGAGGGTGCTCGTCGTCATCGGTGACACTCAGCTGAACGAGCTCCCTGCCAAGGGTTCTGGGGACCACGCAACCTCAAGCCCACCGGAGTCCGAGCCTTGAGGGAGGGGAGGTGTGGGGACCCTCTCCCTGGCTCCTCCGCTCTCCGTGACCTTGCCGGTCCACGCCGCCGTACTGTCGGGCGCTCCTTCGTTCCCCGTGACCTTCCCGTTTCCCGTCGCCGTCCTTTCGCGGAACGTCCGAGCTCTCCGGGAGGAACGGGGCAAGCACCCCCTCACCCAGCGCTGACGTCGGAGGATCGGCTCGCAGCAAGGTTCCCGATTGGACGGTCGGCGGGACAAGGACTTGGGAAGGTCTTAAGTGGGGAACGGAGACAAAGGAAGAGGGCTTGGGGCCGCCGACTTCACAAGGGACCGGTCATGGAGGCGAGCTCGGACGGCGCTGGACGCTGGCGCAGGGAGTGCGGGCACTACGTCGAGTGGCGGACTCGACAAACGGACCGGACAGCGACCCTGGACGACGACGTCCCCATGACGCGGTGTGGATGACGACCGCTGGGACTTGGAGCAGCTGCAGTGACAGCGGACTCTCCCTCGGCCTCGCTGATGACCGTTCCCCGATCCCGAAACCCCCCAAGGCAATGAGTGAGTGATTAAACCCTTTTGCCGAGAGCGCAGTATTGCAGTGTCATATTCATCCGGGAACAGGGTCTGTGGGAATCGGAGTTAGTAGATGCCCGCAAAGTTCAGACCAGAATATTTCCGCAATTGTACAGTAAAAAAAAAAAAAAAAAACACGTTCCAATGTTTCCGGGAAAGGACACAGTGCCCAATTGACCGACCATGCTACAAAACACCCTTTGCTCTCGAGTCATGTTTTAACGGCCAGCAGGCCATGTCCACCGCATTCCCTGCTCAGTGGTACAAAAAGCATGTGAAGCGATTGAGAAAGCGGTACGAACGGGGCCCGATACCGCCATCGCGTTCCATTCTAAAAAAGTAACTGCACAGAAAAAAAAAAAAAATTCAACGGTCTAATTTAGACGAGCATTTAAAAAAAAAAAAGATTTTCTCGGCGAGAAGAACAGTTACAGCAAGATTTATTGCATGCGATTGATTTTAGTTTGCGGCTATATCGTCCGTTTTGAATCGTGCGCCACAAAGTTGGTGTTCAGGGACGTTTAGCACCAATTGGCTGCTATACTTCTCATTGGCTAAGAGTTTGATTAACAGCTTAGATCTTGGTTGTTAATCCTTTGTTATATGTTGTAATATTCGTTTAAGCGGCCTATTTTTACGTTTAAAGAATAACCCATCTAATTATAGTCATTATTATTCAAAAAAGTTTTACAAGACGGGCACTTCCGTTTGGATTCATACCATAACAAACAAAAGCTTCGCTATTCTTTCATGGCCGCCAAAGTCTGCTCCCGCCTGTCTCGCCTAACTTGACTAGTCATTTCGGCGAATTGATCAGTGTTTCGTGGTGACCCAGGTGCTTGAGTGAGACTTCTTGAAGTGAAGTAGTGTGTGTTGAGCAGCTGTCTCAGGCGTTAGTGATAGCAAGCGACGCGAGATTTCGGCTTTCATACCGCGGTTTGTTACTTTCGTTTTTCCTTCTTATTTTCTTAACGTGCTTTTTTTTTTTTTTTTTTTTTTTGTTTGCGCGTGCAAATTTTATCTTTTTGGAGGTGTCAGCTTCTGTAAAGTGGTGCCAGATGATGAGTGATAGTGACACTGAGTCTTTCCGCAGCCATGTCGCCCCAAAAGGTGACAAGCTGAATGCTATTTGGTTGAAGGCAATCGGGCGTTTGCGTAGTGACAAACGTGTCCAGGTATGCTCTCGTCACTTCGCTCCGGAGGCCTTCGAGATTCGCACCGGGTCCACCAAACGTCCGCGACTGAGACACAGCTATTACGTAAAAAACCTGGCACAGCCAGGTTATCACGTAACAACTGTTCGCAGGACCCTTCGGACGTCCGAATTTTGCGTTAGCCGACAGATTTCTTTTTCTTGGCTTCCGAACCATCTTAGGTAAAGTTGTTTAAATTGAATGTGTGGTGTTATTGTAAATCGTGGCTTATGATTGCGCCTTTGTAGATCATCTTAATCGTTTTGCTGGAGAGACGCGAGCGACGGGCACAACGAAATTGTTTGCATATTGCGTATACCTCGCAAAAGCACTTCCCCTATCACCTTGCCAAAAGCGCGAAACACGGAGTCCGCACCGTCCTGACTTCCCAGTCTTTTACCTGCTTTGTTACGGAACTAATAAAAACAGAGGCAGAAAGATAGACAATTCTTTCAGGATGACCTTACTTTTTTACTGTTCGGCTCCATCTCGTTCACAAAGATTCGCGCTCTCGATCCCGCTCGTCTTCTTCATCTTCCATTTGCAACATCCTCAAGAGCCTTAGGTTTGCTTTTGCGAATCTCCAGCAAGTAGAGTTTCTGCGCTGGTTTCTTGACGAGTGCGCCATTTTGCTGCTCCACGAGACAGGCGTGAACAATTCCATGGGCTCCGGGACACATCTCAACAATCCTCGCAAGTTCCCAAAATGGCTTGGAAGTTCGGAACTTTTCTTTCCACTATTACCACATCATCCACCTCTAGCTTGCAGGTGTTTCTGACGGGGTACCGACGAGCAGATCTTAGCTCCAGTAGGTACTCAGACCTCCAGCGTTTCCAAAAATCATCCACGAGTCTTCTTATACATTGAAACTTGCGAACCTTTTCCTGGTGCGTCACAAATGCCTGAACCTCGCTGGAATTGCTGGTCTCTGGCAGAACTGCCAAACTTTGTCCAACTAAAAAATGGGCAGGAGTGATGACTGATGGTTCCCTTGCTCCCTCATGAAGATACGTCAATGGCCTTGAGTTTAGGACTGCTTCGACCGAGCACAGGCTGTTTCTTTCCAGCACTTTCTTAAGTGCTGTCTTAACAGATCGGACGAGCCTCTCCTACCACTCCCCCCCCCCCCCCCCCCCCCCGAATGGAGCGCCTTCTACGATAAATTTCCAGTTAATTCTGCGTTCTGATATGAACTACTTGAACGCTTCTTACTCTAATGCACGACAGATATGGTGAAGGTCTTTTGATGCTTTCTTAAAGGGTAGCGCATTATCTGAATATATGTCTCGCTGTATGCCTCTCCATCATATGAGCCGCCGAAATGGAAGCAAGAAGGCTTCCACGGAAAGACTCGTTGAAAGCTTGAGGTGGACTAATCGGTTAGCAGCACACGTAAAAAGTACGACGTATGCTTTGTCGCGACTAGCTAATCCTTTTTTCGCGTGCAATGGCCCGGCGAAGTCGACCAGCGTTACCGTAAATGGCTTCGCCTCTATAATACTGTGTGTCGGTAGTGGAGCTTGCTCTACTGCTGTGGGTTTCGCGTTGAAGCGTGCCAATATAAGACAACCTTTTACTACTTTCTCGGTGAGTTGTCGGGCACGTATAATCCAATACCGCTCTCGCAGATGACTCATCGTGCTTGCTACTCCACCGTGCAGAACTTTACAATGAGCGTTCATCACGACCAGCCTCACAAAGCTATGTTCGTTAGGAAATATGATTGGATGCTTCACATTGAGCCTTTCGGTAGACCTCTGGAGTCGTCCTCCGACTCGAAGGATTTTGTTATCATCAAAAAAAGGGTGGAACTGAGCGAGTGTTGGATTCACTTCCATTGTGCCATTTTTCCCTAGCAGAATTTCAGTCTCAAAGTTTTCATTTTGTACTTGCTTAACCCAATACCGCTCTGCGGTGTCCATTTCCGCTGCACTTTGCCCTCCTCGGAACTTGTCATTTTTTTTTTGTTCGCGTTGTTAGCGAACCTAATGACCCAGGCAGCTATCCGGTGAACCTTGTGGTAATTATTGTATGCTCCGCCATCGAACAACAATGTTGGCACCACTCGATCATTCTCCAACAACACCGGTGTCTCTTTTTCGACTTCCGGTTGTGACGTGTTTTGCAACGGAGCTGCGTTTCCAGGCCATTTTGAAGCCTCTTGGCACAACCAGTTGGGTCCTTTCTACCAAATGACACTGTCTCGAAGCTCATGAATAGTCAATCCTCTTGTCAAAAGATCAGCCGGATTGTCTTGACCGGGGCAGTGTCTCCAATGGTCCGGTGACGTTACTGCTAGAATTTCCGTTACCCTGTTTTTGACAAACGGCTTCCATTTCTCCGGCCCTACTCTCAGCCAACTGAGGGCAACTGTCGAATCTGTCCACATGATGTAGTCCAGGTCCACGTCATAATAGGAGTCTTTTATGTATTGTAAGAGCTTGGATCCCATATTAGCTCCCATGAGCTCAATCCTAGGCGGTGTTAAAGGTTTTATCGGTGCGACCCTGGTCTTCGCGACAATCAACATGGTGGCTGCATTCCCTTGGTAATCCTCAGTTCTCAAGTATGCGCACGAGCCGTTGGCTTTCATACTTGCATCTACAAAGACGTGCAATTGCATTCTTCTTGCTCCTGCCAGAACACCGTGCCTTATGTATCTCGGTACTTTCAAAGAGTGCAACTGCTCAAGATCCGTCGTCCAGGTGTGCCATTCGTTGACCAACTCTAGGGGTAGTACTTCATTCCAGCACATCCCAGTTAGCCATAGTTTTTGTAAGAGCAACTTGGCCATTAGGACGACTGATGTGATCAGTCCTAAAGGATCAAATACTCTTGAAGCTGCCTTGAGAATGAACCGCTTTTTGTCCCGATCTGCAGTGCGGAATTCCAGAAGAGACTCTACTTTATACATAAAACAATCGTTTTGCTTGTCCAATCCAGATCATTCCAAGCACTTCGGTCATTTGCGAAGGTATGAGACTCTTTCCTTATGATATAATTTCAGGTTCATCATTGTTGAATTGCAGCTGTAATTCTTCGTTGTTAGCTGTCCATTTCTTTAAGGTCATTCCAGCGTTTTTCATAACGTCAATAGATGTTTTGTAAAGTCTGCGGGTCGCCTATCAATACCGCCCGATCAGGCCGAGTTCCACTCGCTCCGAGGAAGTCACACGGGGAGCGCTATTATGAAGAAATACTTTATCGATACTTAATTGTGAGTCGGGTGCTGCGGAGGGCCAAGGCTGCCTTGTGGTCCGGGTCTTCCCTGGGCTCGCTGAGCACCGTCTCTTCCGTTCGTCACTTCCCTTGGAACTCTCTGTGCTCGCCCTGCCACGAGCCTCCTTTCTCTTCTTCGCTCGCGGCGCCGTTCCTCCACGTGCATCGCGGCTTATTGTTCCCCACAAGTCTCACAGCCTCCTCAACACTTTCAGCTCCAAGAAGTAGGTCATCGACATAGAATGCGGTTCTTAGTTTGTCTACTAACATTGGCTGTTGCTCGCAGACCAGCTTCAGGTGGTGATGGATAGTGGCCGTGAGCATGAATGGACTTCATTTAGATCCGAAAGGTACTCTGGTCATCCTTCATTCTTGTATGTGTTTCTTTTTCAAAGGGAAACTTGGCTCTTCCGCAAACCAAAGACATCTGAAGGCATCGCGATTCTCTTCACGAATATTAATCTCTAAGAATGCCTTATCAATGTCAGCACTCATTGTGATCGGGTAATATCTGAACCGGAGTAGGACTTGTAGAAGCTCGGGGTTCAAGTTGGGCTCTGTTGTGAGGACTCTGGTTAGGAGCTGCACACACACCGTCGTCGGGGCCCGACGTTGAGGAGAGACAGTACCCAGCACTAGCTCCGGCACATATAACTTTATCTAAACTCGGCTTGAGTTCGCGACACAGACAACTGCTACAACGTTCTCCGTCCGAAGGCTTGCGATGGCTAACCGCCCTTTTTTGCTGTCCTTCCTCTTTGTCCTCTTTTCTTCCCATAGCCGCGAGGCGAGGATTCTTCGTAATCTGGCGCGAACGCCACCAATGGGACACCCACCCACACACACGTGCCCGCACGCACAGCACCGAATGAGTCGGTAATACACTCCGTCACACTCGCCCACACAAAAAAAGGAATTTTCTCTTACACAAAATTCATCTGACAAAACTTAAAGGGATGTTCATGTTCAGGTTCATAAAGACACTTAATTTTCGGACCGTAATGAACTCACTCTAGGATACCTATAGAAACACTGGGTAAAGTGCACAGAATACACCATCACGTGGTCGCTAAGAACAGTGAACAGAATGGGACAACACATTGAACCCAGAACAATAAGGAGCTCACTAGGGATGTTCCCGCAGATTACAGACCACCCGGTGGGCCCCGCAGGTTTCTCGTACGTGTGTCCCTCAAGGTCAATCAACTGGTCCGTATTTTCTCAAAGCATAGCGGTGTTCCCGCGCGGGTTCGCTTGCTCTAGGAGGAGCAGCAGCCGAGCTGTGAGACAACTCCTCCAAGAGTGCCAGCATGATGAAATCGTTTGTTCTCTTCTCGTCAGAATCCACTCTGTTCTCGTCCGTTGGACACGGGCCGTGGGGCTTTGGAACGGCGGGCATGGCAGTAGGAGTCCCAACATCATTCGGCATGCCCGGCCCCCGAAGAGGCCCAATGTCACCCCGGTCACCACTTCCGGCACCATATCGCTTAAGGCGGTTAGCATGAACTATTTTTTGCTCCCCTGTTCGAGTGTCTTTTACTCGGAAGGTGACATCAGACAGTTTTTCTACGACCCTGAAGCGGACCGCGCCATTTAGGCTGCAACTTTCTGGCGAGCCCACGGACGCCGGCCAAGTCGTTGATACACACGACGTCACCCACGGCGAAGCTCGAAGTTACGGCGTCCCTATCGAATAGGTGTTTCCTTGTTTCGGCAGAGTCAGCCAGCATCAGGCGTGCAGACTCGTGGGCAGGGTGTCGAATCGGAACCGACCCGAACCGAAAACCGGAACAGAACCGTTATTTTTAGCCGAACCGGAACTGAACCGAACCGAAATCTTCGCCGCCATCTTGGAACTGAACCGGAACTGAACCGGAAAAAAATATAACGGTAACCGGTTCAAAGTGGTTCCCGGTATATTTTTGTTTGTTAGTATTACAAATTTATTATTTGGGAATAAAAATTTGGCACGTGTATTGCTCTACGTATTGATCAAGTCGTCATATACAGAATTGCAATGTACAATAAATCCTGGTTTTTTGCGACGCTTTCTTATTGGCACTATGATTAGCCATGTGTCACATCGTCACGTGACGTCATGATGTCAAGACATGCTGTCAAGTAATGTCACACCACGTGACCCCGTGACGTCACGTGACTCACCGCGTTAAGTCGACTCAAATTGAGGACGTCGCCAGATCTATTAACGTTGTTCATACCGTGACGTCACATGACATCAGAACTTCGCACTGAGAGTCACGTGACATCATGATGTACCCGATTGTCATGATCCCGAGTCGAATGCTCTGGTCCATGACAACCAGCATCGCCAAACATTCGGGTAACGGCTCGTGTTCAACTCAAAGATTATAATGGGCCTGAGTCCCACTAGAGCTAAAACAGAAACAAACGACAGCGACAAGCCTCAGACACATGCAGCATGTTCGCGATGGTACCTTTATACGGCTTTGAGTTGTTCGGTGCTCGCGAAGTTAGCACGAGCGTTTACAAGCCTGCAAATGGTACCATCGTGTGCATGATACTCGTGTTTGAGTATAGCCTTCTTTATTCTACAAAGCCTGTCAAATCGCGAAATACTCTGGTTTAAGGCTAGCCGCTGTCGTTTGTTTCTGTTTGTCGCTTTAGTGGGGCTCGGGCATTATAGTTTAACTAAAACTATATCTGAAGATCAGCCCATGCTCTCTGCTTTGCCAACCCTGCGTATGACTATGATAAACACTGACGGTGTATATATTAGGATCAGATCATGCGGCTGATAGTTCTAATTGCGAGTTGAGGAGGAGAAAGCTGTTTCATTTCTTTCTTTCGACTGTCTGCCATTTTGCGAAGGGGCAAACTAATGGATGCTTTTGCAAGTTATCAACGTCAGGGAATACATCTTAGCAGTATTTATTGAACTTAAGGTAAAAAAAAAAATTCTGCACGACCTATTTTACATGTATGCACAGCATTGAGGCTCCCAAACATGTTTTCGTTATTGCTGAACTGCCTCAGAAAGTTCTCCCGAGAATAGAAGTGTTAAAGGGTCTAAATGTGACGTATTAGTCCGACGTTACATGGAACTATTGGTGTGTACGGGAGGGATACCTGAGAAGAAAGATCCTAGTGGCCTCACAGGGATAGCCGAACGTTGGCAGTCGCTCAGAGTCTCACAGGAGTGTCGTTCTCAAGTTCTCCAAGTTTCCACCGCCCTGTATGTTGTTTAACCTTCACAGTTTGGTGCAAAGTAAAAACAAGGAAGAATTACTGTTAACAAGTGACACAAATATAATTGTCGAGTGAACACCACTCAATACGGAGCAGGCAATCCTTGAGGAATAAAGAGTATCTTGGAGGAGCAACTAAAAAAGAAAAAGGAGTGGGGAGTGGGGATAGTTTTAAAGCATAGTGTGTCGTAAAGGTTCCTCTGCCCCGCATTTTCGGCGCAGACTAGAACGCGTGGCCTGGAAACGGTAGTGACAGATGGGTAGTTGATACAACTTTTATTTGTAAAAACACTCTTGCCTGAAAGCACGTTTTCGTCGTGCCAGATACTCGCGCCGTTTCTAACGACGATGCACCAACAAGAGAAATGTGTGCCTCTCAAATACATAGCTTGCACTGAGCGCGAAAATTTTGCAGCGTGCATTTCGCCCCAACGGATTTGATTTCCTCAGTAAGAACAACTCGCAATGACAACCAGTATCTAGTGCGATTACGTCACGTGCAAACCATGTTAAATACTTCAGCTTTCTGGTGAAGTGCGACGTTCGCAACACCAGCAGTAGACGTCCAAGGTGTAAAGTTGTGTAGTATTTATAGCAGTCTCGCGATGAGATACGGCAGCCTAATGAAATGTTGGAGCACATGACTGATAAAGAACAGAGTCGTGAAGTAAGGTCCCAAAACAAGTGCACGTAAAACCTAAGAAAACATTAGCCTCCCGAGGTAGTATCTCCCGACGTTTCGAGCTGAGGCAAGCTGATGCCCAAAAGTGATTTATATTAGGATTCTAAAAAACTTCGTTTGGCCCTGCGCGGAATCTATGTTTAATTAGGAATATCATTTTATGCATTTCTATGCGTTTCTTTTTGCAGTAAAGCGTTGTGTAAGAGATTATTTAGAAAAAATTGCGTGTCATCTCCTTATTTCTCTACATTTCGTGTATTTGCCTTCCGATATATCATGTGACCACAGTGTTTTTTGACATACCCTGCAACCCAGTATTTTACACTGCAAAACAGCTAACAAAATCACGTTGCCGAAGGCTCAACAGCTGGCGTATTTTCGAGTATCGTCCTTCCGTGTCGGTCTCAGGCGGTTATGTGAACTTCATAAAGTCAAATTTATCGATGACAATAAAAATATACTTAATTCCTGTCTGAAGATTTGGCGGCATAAATAGAAGATCCTCACCTCAAAGATATATAAGTAAATGCACCTTTAGATTATCTGAAAGATGTTCTGCAAATCTTTTTCGGCGCTTTTATCCTCTATAGACACGTTCTAGGTGATTTGGAAAAGCTTTAAATAATGTTTTTTTTTATTTTGAAGCTAATTTAAACAACGGTATGT